CTGGTTAGAAATTGGGGATTGCAGTATAAACTCTTAAAAATATCTTTCCTAAGCCTGGCCAGTGTGGTTCATTGGTTAGCGTGTTGGACCACACACCAGACGGTCTCGGGGTTAAATTCCTAGGTTTGATTCTCAGTCAAGGGCACGTACCTGGGTTGTAGGTTCAATCCCTCACCCGGTAGGGGAGAGTGCAGGAGGCAACCAATGGATGTGTCTCTCTCACATCGATGTCTCTCTCTCTCTCTCCCCCTCCTTCCTGCCCTTCCACTTTCTCTAAAAATAAATGGGGGAAAATGTTCTCAGGTGAGGATTAACAAAAGTCTTTCCTATTTTTGTCCAGTGAAAGAGTCTGGCACCCCAGTAGAAATGAACACAGCCTGAGCCCAGACTATGGTTTCTCGATACTATTTTCCACTAAAAGGAACCGGAGCTTTTTGGAGAAATGTCTAATTCTAGGGCTGGGGCAGGAAGAAATACAAGATGAGCCTGGAGAACCTTGTAGTAACAGGAAGGAAGTGTTTGGAAAGCAAAAGCATGAGGCATGTCAAAGGGATGCAGGAGTCAACAGGAAAGAACCAAAGCTAGAAAAATTTGAGCACCCAAAAGGATATTAAACCTACCCTAACTGGTTTGGCTCAGTGGTTAGAGTGTCAGCCTGTGGATTGAATGGTCCCAAGTTCGATTCCAGCCAAGGGCATGTACTTTGGTTAAGGCTTTCCCCAGGGCAAGGTCTGTGTGGGAGGCAGCCAGTTGATGTGTCTCTCTCTCCCTTCCACTCTCTCTGAAAAAAAACAAAGGAAAAAATATCCTTGGGTGAGGATAAAAAAAGAAAAAAAGGATATTAAACCTTTTTGAGAGGAGTATGACCAGAAGGGGCACCAGGGAAGGTGCTGGAATGTTGGCAATATTCTATATTTTTATCTGGAGGAGGCAGATACAGTACATGGATGTATTCACTTTAAAAATCTGTTGAAGAGCCAGGCTGGTGTGGCTCAGCAGTTGAGCATCGACCTAGGATCCAGGAGATCACGGTTCAGTTCCTGGGCAGGGCACATTCCTGGGTTGCAGACTCCATCCCTAGTATGGGGCACCCAGGAGGCAGCCGATCAATGACTCTCTCATGATTGATGATTCTATCTCTCTCTCCCTCTTCCTTCCTCTCTCTGAAATCAATAAAGATGTATTTTTTTTAAAAAATTTTAAATAAAATAAAAATCTGTCAAAGAGCCCTGGCCGGTTTGGCTCAATGGTTAGGGTATCAGCCTGCAGACTGAAGGGTCCGAGGTTCGATTCTGGCCAAGGGTATGTACCTGTGCTGGAGGCAACCAATCGATGTGTCTCTCACATCGATGTTTCTCTCTCTCCACCATCCACTCTCTCTGAAAAGCAATGGAAAAAAATATCTTTGAGTGAGGAAAAAAACAAAAACAAAAAAACCCATCAAAGATTAACCAAAGAATTTATATGTATATATGCATAACCCATGGACACAGAGAATAGTGTGATGAAGGCCTGGGGAGGTGGGTGAGGGCGGGGTAGAAGGGGTCAGTGGGGAAAAAAAGGGGAGACATCTATAATACTTTCAACAATAAAGATAAATTTTAAAAAACTCCATTGAGCTGTATAGTGATGATTTATGCACATTACTTTATGCATGCTATAGCCCAATAAAAGTTACCCCCAGAAATGACACTCTTAGATTCTAAGTTGTTGAATAAATAAAAACAATGCATACACTCTGATAATTGTGAAAAGAGCAGGGGAAAAGGAGAAATACCAACTAATAATTGTAAAAAGAAAGCAAGCATCAGAAAAACCACCATTTTGCAGCGACCAATGCAATTTATTCAGGCAAGAATCATCCTTGAGCCTGGCTGGCGTGGCTCAGCGGTGGAGCATCGATCTATGATCCGGGAGATCAAGGTTCAATTCCTGGTCAGGGCACATGCCCGGGTTTCAGGCCCCATCCCCAGTAGGGGGCGTGCAGGAGGCAGCCCATCAATGACTCTCATCATTGATGTTTCTATCTCTCTTTGTCCCTCTCCCTTCCTCTCTCTGAAATCAATAGACTTTTTATTTTTTAAAAGAATCATCCTTGGGTGGTAAACCATTAGATAAAGGTTGTTGGGGAACAGGATATTTACAGGGTCTCAAGGTTTTACCCCAGATCATTTGTGCATTAGGAAGGGAAAATACAACTTTGCAACAGAGAGACCAGGTAGCCACCATGTTGTCCACGTGACTGAGCCTCCCTAACAGTAGGACAACCTGACCTTGAGTACCCCTTGATGCTGAGGATGTGGGGAAGGGGAAAGACACAGCATTCCCCTGGAGGCACTCTCATCACAATGCTTAAGCTGAATTTAAGGAGGAATAAAGCAAATCCAGATCCTGGAGCATCTACAAAGCAACTGCTCGGGACTATTAGAAAAATACTGTTGCTTGATTGCCTATGAGAAGGGAGAGTTGGGAGAAGCAAACATAGAGAGTGGCCTCTAGCTGCCTGTCATTAAAAGCATGGCTGAGTGGTCTATTCATTCACTGAGACAGGCCAGTGTGGGTGCCAAGAGGGAAGGAACTGTATCTTCCAGTTCTAGTGTTGCCAGCATTTGGGACATGGCAGGCACTCAGTGAGGGTATGCTAAAGGAATGAATGAGGTGTCTGCAGGAGAGCCAGGAGCTGTCTCAGAATCACACCCTAGAGATGTAGCCTGAAGCTCAGGAGAGAGGGCCGGGATGAGTCATGGACATGGAAGTGAAGGTGGACAAGCCCCCCTGGGGAGTGATACAGAGAGAGAGAGAGAAGAGAAGGTCTCCAGGGACAGAGCCCTAGAGCCCCCAACATTAAAAGGCGGGGTGCATGTGTGAAGGAGGAAGAACCAGCAAAGGAGCCAGAGAATTGAGCAGTGAAGTGGAAGAAAAAGCTGGAGAGTAAGGGCAGAAGAGGGCAAGGATTGAGGAATGCCAGAGCCATTTGGTTACCCCAGAGGAGTTTGTGGGCAGGGCGGGAAGGGGATCGAGTCCCCAGGAGCCCAGGGATGCCACTCCAGCTGGGCCCTGGAGGTGGACAGGTTGGTTGTCTCTCCCACAAGTTTTTCAGGGCTTGGAGGTCTGAGGCCCACCATAGCTGTTACATCTGCTTCGGGAGTGCCTAGCCTGGCTAAATAGCACCCTATTGGACTTACTGGAACTGGCAAGGCCTGGTATTGGCCAGGCCTACATGGGAGGACTGCAAGGCACCAGCAAATTGTGGGCACATCTAATCTATCACCTGGGCACTTCCTACAAGCCCATCCTAAAGCATATGCCGCTCTCCTCTGAGTCTGCCCCTCCTCTCTGGGCCCTTGGGAAATGACACCACAAGCATCTCAGTCCAGGTGCCAGACCATTTCTGTCTGAGAGGCCACCACTTGTCCTGCCTTCTCCTAGTGTCACTGTGATAACAGGGCCTTCAAACTGCACCATGTCCCTGGGGTGTGTGTGTGTGTGTGTGTGTCAAGGACTGCCTGAGGCCCCTCCTTAGGGGCAGGCGATGGATCTCAGGGCCTCACAGTAGACAGGGGACAGGTAGCATCAGGTGGGGTGGCACCCACTACCTGGGTGGAACACTTGGCTAGGTGGGGCGCAGCACCTGCAGTAAACATTCTGACACCTATTGAAGGATCTTAGGATTTCGGGCCTGCAGGTGTCCATGGGGCCATTCCCAGACTGCAGGGGCAAAGGCAGAGTGCGCCTGTGGCTGCTCATCTTCACGTAGAGTCCCTAGTCTCCTCTCATGATGGCACGGGGCCTGGACCAGAGCCTCCTGGTCCCTTCCCACCCAGGCCTCCCATTGCTCATCCCTGCGTTTCCTCCCTCTCCTGCCTTTCCTCCCCCAACCTGCCCATCCCTACCCTGCCACACACAAGCTTCTAAAATGAGGGGTCCCCACTGTAGCCAGTTTTGCTCAGTGGTTAGAGTGTTGGCCTTCAGACTGAAGGGTCCTGGGTTCTATTCCGGCCAAGGGCATGTACCTCAGTTGCAAGTTCGACCCCCAGCCCTGGTAGGGGCCCGGGCAGGAGGCAACCAATAGATGTGTCTCTCTCACATCCAAGTTTTTTCTCTCTTTCTCTCTCCCCCTTCCACTCTCTCTGAAAAGCAATGGAGAAAAAGTCCTGGGGTGGGGATAAAAGAAAAATAAAAAATAAAATGAGGCACTCCCAGTCACTGTCACCACCTCCTCCCCTCCCCATACAGCAGTTGCTTCTTGTCCCCCTGCCCCAAACATCACCAATGACCTTCTTGTTACTAAAGCAAAGGAGGCTCAGTCCTGCCCTTACTTTGCCTCTCTGCGGCACTGGACAACTTCCCCTTTCTGGAGGGGCATTCTTGGCTTCTGACATTGAGCTCTCTGTGGCCTTGCATCTGGGGATGTTCCTGGCTTCTACTGCATCTACAGTTGAAGTTCCTCAAGGCCCAATCCTCTCCCCTCTTTTCATGCCACACTCTCTGGGAAGCCACCTCATCCTTCTTCACGGTTTAGGATGTCCTGTCCACAGGTCACTCTCAGCTGTCATAGTAGAAGGCTGCAGAGGGCTCTGGGATCAGACTGGGCCTGGGTCCCAGTCAGCTCTTCCTTCAGTGAGGCTCCCATCATACACCCTTAAGACTCCACTCCTGTCTCCACATCCTGCCTGAAAGCCCTGCTGAGTTCCTGACCCCTATGTCCTATTGCCCAGATGTCTCCTAACCACCGGATGGCTTTCACCCCCAAGCTGGGAGGCACTGGCACAAGGAACTCAACAACCATCTCTAGGGTCTGTCTGAAACGTGCATCTGTGTGCCACGCCCCTGCAGTGGACAGTTGCTATTTGGGGCCACCATTCATTCTCCCTGAGGACCTGGCTTTTGTTGAGAGTCTCCCTTTCCCTCCAACAGCCCATGGGTATCCAGGGGGCTGGCCTCCCACTACCCACCCCAACCCAACCCTGGACAAAATGATTGGAGGCATCACTCAGTTGTGACCAATGAAAGGACAGTGTTTATTTGCTGGGGGCATCTGAGAAAGAAGCTACACTACAGGGTGAGAAGGTGCTCCTTGCTGGCTATGAACAAGGGATTCAGTGGAAGCTGCAGGCAGCCATCTTTTGATCCTGAGGCAGCAGCTTGGGATGAAGCAGACACTGCAGAGTGCAGAGGGGAGGTAGGAAGAAACTGGGTATTTGGTGAAATTGTTCATCTGCTGCCAATACCCCTGGACTTCTCAGTTTTGTAAACCAGTAAGTTTCCTTTATTGTTTAAACCAATTTCCTTTATGGTTAAACCAATTATTGGAAACCAAAAGCAGCCTAGCTAATACAGTTCTTTTTGGATCAAAGTCAGTCTCACATTCACCTTTAGTGCTATTTAAAATTTCAACATAAACTTCCTGACTCAGAATAAATGAGAGCATTGGCAAGTCTATCACATGAGCTGCTAGATCACACAGGCTCCTAAGAGGGCCCTGCTGTTTGATATTCCCAGTTCTCAGGTGGGGAGAGGGGCTTCTGTCTGCTCTTCAAATCCTTCGCCCATAAGGCGTCTGTCCGTCTTCCCAGCCCAGGGACCCAGGCAGGAGGGTCTCAGGCAGGGACAGTGGCAGGGCTGGAGTGTCCATCCTCCAATGCACATGGCTTCCTTCCAGCCTCAACTGCCCTGGGTAACCTCCAAGGAGCAGGTGCCAAGATGACCTCCAGCGCCCACACACCAGGCAGGGTGGGAGAACCAGTGCCACCCGGCCGTGCTTCTGCCCACTCCCTGGCACCCTGAGGTTAACTCTTAGGAAGTGAGGGGTGTGCAAAGTGAAAGCCCTTGTGTGCACATGGTGGGGGAAGGGTTCACTTCCATTCTGTGGGTGAGCGCATTGTGTGAGGGTCTGGCTAAGGCCTGGCTCTGGCACTGCCTTGGTGAGTGACTTTAAGCCAGTCACCTGTCATTCCTAAGGAGCAAGGACTACCCGTGTCCAGTGGGAGGCAAGCAAAGGGGGTGCCCGGGGAAGAGCTTGATAGGAAGGGCCAGGACATCTCATCTCTGGGCCATGCTTGGCCATCACTTGGCTTCTGGCCTCAGTTTATGGAACACAAAGGGGAGGACTGCTGTAGACACCCCCTCCCCATCGGGTCTGGGGTAAGGATGAAGGAAATTGAGTGAGGTTTGAGTGGCCTTCACTGGGCAGAGTCAACAGCTGGGGACCAACGTGGCACAGGGACTTGCCTGAGGTCACACCATAGAGCTGGGTGATATTCATCCCCGACTCCCCAACCTACTTTTCCTTCGAATGCACACTGGCTGCAGCAGCTGAGGGGGCCCAGAGCTGGCTGTCACTTGGCCTCCTACCAATACTGGACTTGCCAGAGGCCTGGAAAGGAGTCACTTGAGGGTTTATTCTTAGTGGGCTAAACACCAAATGCCAAAGCCCATCCCTCAGAATCTTCTAAACAGTCCCTTTTTCTTTCTCATTCTGAGGCACTTATAGAAGCTGGCTAGACTCGGATTCTAGCTCCCCCACTTCACTGCAAGAAGTCTCAGCTGTCTCACCTTTTGTTCAAGGTGGAGGAGCAACCCAGGTCAAGTGCTTTCAGTGGTGCCTGGCACCTAGCAAGAGCTGGGTACCCACCAGCTATTATTATAAGCCAAATTGCAACATGAGAACACATTTAATGCTACATGCAGCTTGCAGCCTGGCCAGGCTCATCCCCACACTCGGTGAATCCTATTTAGAGAACCCCTTCTCCATAACTTCAGTGACTTCGGGGTGCAGGAAGCGGCTAGCTAAACGTTCGATGTCATCCAGGGTCAGGCGGCTCAAGGACCTCTCATAATCCTGAGGAGAGAAGGCCAGGAGGATTCAGGGGGTGCCAATGGGGGTACATCAGGACAGAGGCAGGTGGGAGCAGCTGGGACAGGAGTGGACGTCTGGGGCTACCCTTCTCACCCTCTGTAGTTGATCCAGGACTCTGCTGGCATCTGCAGCACTGAAGTGGCGCGCCAAGATTTTGGCGATCAGCTGCCAGGCTGGCGGGCGTGGGGGTGGGGCCTCGGCCAGTTTCCGGGTGGCGTTTTCTTCCAGTAACACCTTCTCCAGAGGTTTGACCACTAGGTTGAGCTTGGAATTGGGTCCAATGCTGTAATCAGAGAGTCTTTTCCCATCTACCAAAAAGATATTGATGAAATCATTACCCACAGCGGTGGGGGTGGCCTCAGGGATTGCTGTGGCATCTAGCTGAGGAGGGTTCGGCCACCGCCTCGACAGTCAAGTGGCCAATGCCCCACGCATTACAATGCTGCCCTAACTCGGCCTGGACAGCCGACCCCAACTTCGTGCGGGACTCCCGGGCATCTCCTCTCCCCATTACCTGCAAGGGCCTTGCCCTTGAACAGCAGCCGCTGCTGGCGCACGGGGACGTTCAGCTTCTCGGAGACCAGATGTTTCAGCGTGGACACCAGCTCATCCTCCGACACCTGGCCAGGCCGAGGGTGGGAGCAGGGGTTGAGCCCGCGGCCCCCGCTGAAGGCGGCTCGCCCGGCCTCCCCGGCGCGACTGGCCCGCCAGCCCTGTCCCCACCCTCAGCCCAGCCCTGAGCCCCGGAGGGGGAGGGGGTCGAAGGCCTGGTGACGCTACCTGTAGGCTGCACTCGCGGCCCTGGAGCGCCTTCACCGTCAGCTGCATG